AGGTGACTTGTGCATCCTCTGCACACATAGCGCCTCGACCCGTGCAAAAAAAAAACAAGTGCTCTTGCACCTGGCCTGTTTCCACAGGCCTGCTGCCCTCCTTTTCGTGCAAGAACAAGCCAGCCACAAGCTAGCAAGATTTGCTCCGGAGCTCATTCCTGAATTCAACGCCCAAGTACAAAAGAGTCATAGTTCAGTCTCACTCAGGTTTCACTCCACATGTGCAGACTTCGAATCTCCTCCTCTCTCGGCTCTGTCTTTTGTTGTTTTGTTGTGTGTTTGGGTGGGTGTTTTTCTGCTCCTCTGAGAGAATTTGGAGATTCAAACCTGGTCAAAGATGACCTGTGCACCATGCACACATGGCGTCTCCACTCGTGCAAAACAATGGGGAACTTTGGCGACCCTGGAATCCACTGCGTTGGCGCTTGGTTCTAGGGCCGTCAGTGGACAAGCCTCTGGAAGCGGGGCCGCGCAGGACCAGCTGGAGTGGAAACTGGAGGGAGAGAGCACGGGTCCTGCAATCACGCTGTGGCCACAGATTCGTCATTCCGACGGATCAACCTCCTCCGAGTCCAGGATATGATCCAAATTGGCCAGCAGAGACACGGTGAACAAGCTCAGCCTCCCAGTTCGTCCGCATTGCAGTGGGAGCATTGTTCGTTGCTGTTCACGGTCAAAAACATGTGCATGAACCAGGAAGTTGCTGTCGAGAGTTTGCACCACCAAAGGATGAAGCGGGCACTTGGCGAAGTGCACTCCTGTGGGCTTGGCTGTCCAATTGACATCTCGAAAAAACACCAAAAGCAGTTTGTGAAACGGATCTCTCTCACAACAACAAAAATGAGGTGTCGTGCTCCTCAGCTGGTTTCCTCCAATACAATTGCCACCCGTTTGAATCTTCAATTTTGTGCAGGGAATCACTTCTCCACATCTCTTCCAAAATCCTCGCCATGTTCAGTGTTGGGGTCTTGGGACAGGGGCACTAATAAAAGATGACAAGAAGGAGGTGGGTGACTTCGCGAAGATGGCGCTTCTGACACATGCCTCACAACCACTTCCACACCCAACTCACCCCAACACCACCTCAAATGGCAGACATCGAAACCACCCATGAACTTCTTTCCTCGAAACCAAATTCAGCCTCAAAAACACGACAGAAATTCCGAGACCGGTTCATTGGGCCCCTAGAGCATGCCCAAGGAGCTGACAGCCCTCCGGTAGCTGCAGCTCAAGGTCAGCGGTTGCAGAGATCAAGATTGCCTGAGCATAAAAAACAAACACCACAAAAAACACCCACACAAACAACAAGCAACTCACCAAAAAACATTCCAGGAAATCCTGCAGACCCCTTGACGGGATTTTTTTGGATGCATTCGCGGTTTGTTGGGTCTGAGACTTTGAGTTGAGCTGTGGCTGCGGCTTCCAGCTCCTTTTATTCACCTGTATTGCCGGTGGGATCCGGCCTTTTGCTGTGGGGCCGTTGTGCTTTGTTGCATTCTTGCGATGACGGTGGCACCACGCGTGCAAAAGAATTCATGCTGTCAGAGCCAGAGAAGTGACACAACACAGAAGGCGGGAGGTTGATTTCAGAATGTTTCTTTTTGCGCCGCCATGCGTGCAGAAAATGCACAGGTCAGCTTGTGCTGTTTTGTGAGTGAGTCTCCTGCCAGGAAAGGGCAACACAAGCAAAACCAGAAACCAAACCAAATCAAACACAAAAAAACCCAAACAAACAAAGGGGTAGCAGCAGAACCAAACACGGAAAAGGCGAGGAGACTCAGGTTCATCATGCAGGACCTAGAGTGAAACCTAGGTGAGACATTTATTGGGCAGTGAATTCTTGCAAAACGCCTCAATGTGAGCAATCTGAAGTGCGGTACTAACTTATTTCTGGCAGCATCGAGGGCACTAAATTTGGAGGCCTGTTTACACAGGCCATTTTACCAGGTACTCAAGGATGTTCATTCTATGCTCACGTTTGTATATCACTTGAAGAGGCATGGGCAATACAACCAGGCGAACTGTGATCAGCTGCAAATAAGAGCAGCGGCCAAACATGAAAGGATGCTCCTGGATGTGGCTTATGGAAAACCACTGCTGTCAAAGAAGCCTCTAACGCGCCAAACGAAAGGGTAGTTCCTTGCCAGCAGTGCGGCCTTTCATGAGTGGTATGTCGGACTGTCTATGGTTTGCGGTTGGCAGTCAGCAAGGCACTTAGGTTGATTGATTTCTCAATGTTTCTTTGGGTGGGGAAAAGTGGAAATGTTTGAAGGAGAACAAAACAGAACTTTGCATGTCCTAGTTTGAAAGAGAGATGTTTTTTCGTTTTCGTGATGTCAGCAAGCGTCAACAAGTTCGACAACAGCTGGCAGTGTTGTAGAGTTGCTTTGGTCTTTCGGAAAGACGTCTTGCAGTTCGTGTTAAACTGTGTCTGCATGAGCCGCAATTGTCATGGGAAAGCTCGAGCTGGTGAGAGAACCACGAGACATGGCGAATGAGAGTTGATCCTGGTCCAGGCCTCATGTGTGCAGATTCTGGCCTTCATCTTGTGTTAAAGAGCCTCTCACATCCCTCAATGCGATCCTTCGCGCCTCTCTGCCTTCCATTTCCTTGTTCCTGACAGCAGTTGAAGTGCGCTGTCAACTTCACCCCATGACCACATTGATGTTTTCTGACGGAGCCAGTTTTCGTCTCTTCCCCTCCAGGCTTTGAACGCAGAAGACTAAAGCCACCCCCAAAGCAAAAAAATATCTCCAAACAAAGCTCGTTGAACATCCGCAACCGTTTTTGATTGCGTTTCCATCCTTCAAAAATCTTTAATTTTCAAACACTCAAAGCCTAAAGCCATGGCAACACTCATTTGTCCGTCGGCTCGGCTGTTTTTGATTTTCATTGGTTGTGGACACTCGTTTCATTGAGATGTACATTTCTCCACCGCAGACCTTCCTCAAGGAGCTTCGACAAACCTTTTTTTGCAAACTTTTCGACACACCTTTTTGAGGAGTGCATGAAAAGACCAAGGCATGCTGAACATCAAATGATCAAACAACTTTGCACATCATCTTTTCAGGGTTGGGGCATTTTGGCAAATCAAGGAGTGTTGGGTCAAGCTCCCGAGCTCAAGTGCATGTGATGAACGATGAGATTCGGATAAATTGACATCTTGAAGTCGATTTAATTCTTCAGTGGACCGTAGACCTCAATTGAACAGTTGCGAACAAAATATGTTGCGCATAACAGGTTATTGCTTTCAAAATTCAAACAAAGGTGCGTAATCTGTAAGCTGAGAAAACCGCTTCGCAATTTCGCCATGCAAATCAAAGTGCTTTGTTTGCTTCTGGTGGTTTTGGCCGTGGCAGTGGCAGTGGGTATACATTCGATTATGGTTGCTTTGAGAGCTCCACTACCTTTCACTGTTTCGGTGGAGTACCGGGGCCAGGTGCGAAAATATCCGCCAGAGCCAACTGAGGGCAGGCCGGAGGGTAGCGATTTGCAAGTGGAAAAGGAGCAACCTTGTGGTTTCTGGGAGATCTTCATCAATCACAACGAAGGACCAGGCGTACACAAGTGGACACACTACTTCCCAATTTATGAAGAACATTTTGGACATTTTTGCAGAGGTCGCGAGAATTTGACCATGGGGGAGATTGGTATCCACTCTGGCGGCAGCTTGCTCATGTGGCGTCAGGCTTTTGGGGAAAAGCTGCAGCTCCTGGTTGGTATGGACATCAATCCAGACACCAAGGCAGGGATGTTGGACATGTGTGTTCTTTAAGCAATCATAAGGTGTACATGTGGAGATTCATTTTTTAAAAGCCCTTCAAGAGCTGGACTTCCATTGGTTAAGTATGGTCCGTATGGTTATGTAGGGTTGAGCCTGTTTGGCTTTTTGAAGTGCGCAGAGTTATACCCCAAAGCACCAAGCTGCTCCAAGGCATGGGAGCGCTTCGGGCCGAATGTCAAGGTGGAAATCGGGAGTCAGGGAGACCCACAGTTTCTGCAGAGCGTGAAAAGGAAGTATCCTGAAGGTTTTGACATCCTTTTGGATGATGGCTCTCATATTCCAGATCATCAGTTCACCACCTTCGTGCATATGTGGGAGATGATCCGTCCTGGTGGTGTGCTTCTAATAGAGGATGTTCACGGAGTGAATCCGTTGTTGCATTGGCTGCTTCATGGGCACAGCCACGAAAATGCCTCGATGCCTGGTTGGTATTACCCAAATGACAAAGAGACCGGCAAAGCGACGGAAGTTCCCACGGATGACGGAAATCGGCTGAATCGGGCTCCAATGATGGCCTTCACATCTCTGAGTGTTCAGAGAGAAGTAGAGAGCATCAAGGTCTACCCATTTGTGATTGCCATCACCCGGCGCAAGGTTCCCCTGGTGGATGTCCAAGCGATTCAGCACGGCTCGCAATGGATGCCATACTGAGGGCTTTCATGCCAAATGCGCTGTGGCTAAAATGAGCGTCAATTGAGTCAATTGCTAGGGGTGTTATTGGCATGGCGATAGGAATACATCGAGAAATGATGGGTGCCTGAAACACTGTGCGAGAATGCGACGGCACAGCCCGAAAGGCGCGTTCCACAGAAGGGCGCACTTTTTTTCTTTTTAACGTACCCATGTTTCAGAACGGGTCACAGGCATGTACCTCTGCGGTAGGCACAGCACAGAAGAGCTTTGCTGCAGCCAAGAACATGCTCAAATGCAACTGTGTTGTGGCAATTTTCTTAGACATTCAAAGGGCAACGTGATCCCACGGCCACAAAACTGCAGGCCCGATCTTGTACTACTCCAATCAAAAGCAAGTTGGCAAATATGGCAACAGTGGGGTCCTTGAGAATGAGCCATGCATCAACAGAAGTGTGTCAAAGTCAAGTGGACATTTAGCAGGGAGAATTAAACAAAAACAAATCAGCAACAGTTTAACCAGAGAGAATTCTAAACATTGCTTACCTCCCTCTTTGTTTCAGACATTGGTTCATGAGTTGACACAACACGCGTGTGTACCAAGGCGGTTCATGTAGGAAGCCATGGCGTTGCATCCTCGCGGTCATGGGGTTTTAAGTGAGGTCCCTGTCGAGCTTCGGTGGTTCTGGTTGTCACAGAGGCAAAAATATGTTTTTTACTGAATTTCCCTGTGTGGTCCCATCTGGGAAACTCAGCGAGGGTGTTTGTAGCTTCTAGATGCTTGCGCCTTGGAAACGAAGCTGATGGGAGAAGATACCGGAGGATGATAACCCTCCAAATATGTAGATAGAACCAGGAAGTGCCTTCGAATTGATATCCCTTCCCTCTATTTCGGGCGCTGTGAAGAGAAGATGTGAGTTTCCTCCCTTCCTTTGGGGAGACTCTGACCTGCAGGGGAAACATGCAGTGGGAGGACGTGTGCCGGACATGGTCTGAAGGTCTTGCCCAGGAAGAGCCAGGAAGACGTGTATGAGGACTGCATCATGGGACTAGAACTCTTGGAATACTCATTTTCCCATGATGTCTGGGGGATCGTCAAGCTATGGTAGGGTTGATTAGGGTGTTTGATTCAAGCAAGTAAGTTTTGCCTCCAAACCTGAAATCCTTGGCGGATTTCTCAGCTGAGAGCTCCAGAGTTTCTCCATGATGAGGCGATGGAAGGAGGTCGAAGGAGCAGCATGTTCCCGGCACTCGTGGGGGTGCCGAGATGGCTCTTCACATGTGGGGCACGGCATTTTGGCATTGCTGGACTCCCAGGAAGAACCACATGGACCAAAATGGGCGGTCTAGGATTCTGGAACCATACTCCCGGAAAAACGAACTGCCGGTCCAGATCGATGTGGCTGTTCTTGCGGTTTTGCCAAGAATCACCAAACCTGGATTAGAGTCAAGACTCTTGAAGGGCTTAGTCTTGTGATGACCCGAACGACAACGGTGACGCCGACGCCGACGACGACGACGACGACTGTGCGAACCCGGAGATGTGCTTGTGAGACCTGTTAGAGATGGCTAAAGACAGGTTGTATTCTATCTTCTACTATAAAGCACTGTCTTTAATTGTAGGTAGTGTATGAAGGGGTTATTCAACAACAAGTGGTTCACTATAGGTATGCTTTCTGTTCTTATCAGTGTCAGTTTGTGCTCAACAGCCTAGGAATTCACGTTTGGTGCATCGGGTTTTCGTCAGAGCCCCTGTGCCTTCTACCAAGCCCCAGAATTCGATTTTCGCTTGGCGACCAACAGGCTGAAGGGCTGTGAGGTGGATGAAACCAACTTGGAGTAATCACTTGACAACGGCAGCTGAGCATTGGCTGTACCATGTGTTGTAATCCGCACAAACTCCTTCTGGACACCGAGTGGTTGAATCTCAGACCGCAAAAAAGATCTCCAAAGCCATGTGATGCTCCACGTTGACGCCGAAAGAAAAATCGATGGAAGCTCCATGTGGCCAGCGGCCATTGCTGGGCAAAGCTATCGATTCATGAAAGCCAAAAAATTCCACGCATCTGGGTCTCTGGGTCTGGTTTTGATTGTAGTATTCTGAAGCTGGAAGGCAAGCCAGGAGGTTTGAATCCCGTGACCAACATCAACAGTGACCGATATAGGGGCTGTTGAAGACGAAGTTGAAGTTGATCCTCCAAGAAAGAACAAGGCAATTCCCGTGAAGCCCAGGGAATTTCCGAGGTAAGGACAAGGTCACCCGCCCTTTTGGTTCGGCCCCAAACTCCTGGAATCGGTCGGAAAAGAGAAGGAGGTTTTCTTCAAGAACTGGTTCGGAGGACTTCCTTTAGAGGACTTCATGTTGGTTTGATCCAAGTGAACCCCCCCAAAATGCCTCAAGAATCCCTGACCACGAGAAAGTCTAGCTTCGAAAGTGAGGATCATGAGAATCTCGAGCAAACAAATGCCGAATCGTCTCGATGTGGCGGAAGCGCTCAGATGCCTTTCCTCTACTTTCAGCAGCCCCTCTTCGAGGAATCGGACCATGCGCAGGAGTGCCGACGAGATGTTTCGGTTTCGCTGGTCTTGCAACGGAAGGCGGTTTCTGGGCCGTGCAGGCAGAGGTTCATCCACTGGTGCATCCTTTGGTGATTTGGAAGACCGGTGAGACGTGTGTGGATGTGGATAGAGTTTGTTGATTCGACACCAAAAAAAACGACTTGCCAAGCTGAATCCAATAGAATGAGGACGCTGGCCACGAGACGGAGACAGGGCATATCCTTTTGCCATGGCGCCCGAACCTTGATCGGGGGCGCGTTCAGTTCAGTTCGGCTTCTCTAAAGCTGAATGGCTGGATGCTTAACACCGCTCCGGCCGACCATCTCGGTTGACCGGGAACCGGGGACCACGTGTCCCGATCCGCCCGGCTAGGACTGGTCGGCGTGGGAACTCAGCTTCGCTTCTTCGGAGCATCTGACCGACCGGTGACGCCGAGCGTCGGTGTGTGACTCGTTCTCAGCCGACGCCGGAGGGTCGGAGGAACGTCCCCAAAAGAAGCCGTGGCACCACGTCAGACGTGCCGTCTTGCTCCGTCCAAGCTTGCCTTTTTGGCACGTGGTGCTTTTTCACCAGAGGATCTCCAGAACCAGTGTGTCCCATAAGTCGGAAGAACCAGGGTGAGTTCAATAGACAGTACAACTGGTCATGGTTTGGGCCTTCCGGGCTTCCTGGCGACTCCGCATCCGTCGGACCCGTCGCTTGTGTTGCACCCACCATCTGTGCGTGACCCAATAAAGCTCCTTCCAATGCTGACTCACTTTGATGCACTCTAGGCAGAGCCGCTGGCCGAGAAAACCTCTGAGGCTGGAGGGTTTTGCGAAGCTTGGGCTGTTTGGAGGAGAGTCGGAGTCTTTCCATGAAATTCGGTGAATAGGAATAGGCAGGATGGGTGGAAGGGGCATTTCTGTGGAGCCATCTTGAAGAGATTGACAGGGGATATTTCCCTATATACCCTTCAAGTCCAAAGACCCAGTAAAACCTGGTCTTTGACCTCCTTGAGGAGTGCTTTCGTATGACCAACTCCAGTAAAATGGGGTCTTTGACCTCTAGGACCTGTCAGGTACTTGATCTTTATAGTATTTATCTCTATTTCAGATGCCTTCAAACTTTGCGATGATACGATTACATAAGAGCCTCACATTTACATGTGGGCACACTCCAAACCCTGGGAAACGATAGGGGACTCACAAAAAATTATACCCTTCAACAAGATTCCAAAACAATGGAAAACTATAGGGGACTCGCAAATCTGAGGAGGTAACAGCCACACATAGTAAATGTTGACCGTACTTGATATATATATATATATATATTGTACCCCCCCTCCAATACACACCCTTTGTGTGTTCTATACCGTAAATTACAGTGTTTTAGTGATATTTTGGACTCATCTTTTGAGTTATATTTTGAGACATTTTTTTCACATGATTGTTTGGAACACTTTCTGGAGGGGTGGTACCATGTTTGGGGATGAGAATCTATCAGTTAATTGAAAGGGGAGTACCATATATATATATATATATCCTCAGGTGAAGATTATATCTGAGAACAAGAAGCAAACAAGAGCATTATTCAAAAAGTCTGCAGAAATCTTAAGACATCTTAAGATTTCCCTGGAACCAAGAAACCAAGAACCAAGATTGCTCAGAAGTCTTGGGGATAATCTTGGTTCTCGGTTCCAAGAAAACCTTCTCATCAGAACCAAGATTTTGCCCAAGACTTCTGTGCAATCTTGGTTCTTGGTTTCTTGGTTCCAGGAAAATCTTAAGATTTCTTAAGATTTCTGCAGATTTGGGAAGACTTTCGTCACACCACAGCATTTGCATCCTTTGTTCACAGCTACTCTGCCGGAAGGACATTCTTTACAAATGCAATATTGGATGAATGTAGGACTATAGTCCCATCAGATTATTTTGATATAAAAGCATTGTAGGACCATAGTCCCATCAGAATATTTTTATAAACACATTGATACAACAAAACTGATAGAGATTGACAGGACTAAAGTCTTTACATGGGCATTTGCACAGATTACATTCATACCTGTTTTCAATAGTTGGAAACATTGCAGCAATTGATCTAGTTTAACATTGTATACAGTGGAAGTGAATGCATCAAATGTTTTCTCAATAAGAGGTATAACTTGATATATGGAAAGTGTTTAAGAATACTATTGCAAGCAAACAATGAAAACATCTTTTGTTATAAAACTCCTTCATGCATTCATAAAGTCGGTTGTTACCAGCTTGTTAATGAACTATGGGAAACCGATCTTACTAAAGATGACAAAAAACTAGGAAACATCACCTTTGGAATGCTTTAAACATCACACAACACCGCACATAAGAGTTACTGTTTTAACACTTTGAGGGAGGCATGCCGTTGCCAGAGTGAGTTTGGAGGAAGGATTTATGCCATACGGGGCCATACGACAAGAAATAGAAAAAGAAGAAGAAACAACCATGCAATACCTATTACATCTTAAACACCACCAATAGACATATATTAGTCAATGGGCTTAGAGATATAAAAGGGTTGCTACGTCAATATCATAACTTTTCAATGTATGAAGCATATAATAAACATTCAGAAAATGACATTAAGGCCTATTCAGTGAAGAGTGATGCCTTCAAGATCCATGAAGACGATTTGAGTTGAGTGATGGGCAAACCGAATCATTTTATACAAACATATCAGACTGGCATATTGATATGATTTGATCAATTGTCATGCACATAAAAGGTTCTGTAAGTTTATGTGTTACCCTGTGATATTCACAATTATAAAGCATGCAGGTCAATGTTCCAGTTGCGTAAACCGAATGTTTGTGACTGTCACAAAAAAATATATATATATATATATTTTTCAATATTTTAAATTTGAGTTGTTTAATTGTAATGTCACAGTGTAACAATAAAAGCTAACAACTCATATAATCAGTTGTATTCATCAATTATCATACGTGCATTTGCACTGGGTGCAACTGACACTATGAATTGGAGTGCTCGTATATAATATTGTTCATCGTCATGTACACAATTTCTTCTGTAAATTGTTATGTTTCTTTTTGTGGGGTCTTCACACTTGTGCACCATGAGATTCATACTTTGAATTGCAAGTCCAATGTAACAAATTGAGTTGACAATTTGGAAATTCACATGATCAAAATGAATTGGAATGTATCGCAAAAGGTGTGTATTGGTGGGGGGGTGACCGCGGTTTTTGATAGGAAAAGACCATGTTTTGACTCCCAAACAGGGGTCAATCAGGTCGTATAGGTATATATACACATGTTACATTACCTATCTGACGGGTTCTGGGACTTCACTAGATGTTGTTCGACGTGCAGGGTTGACGCAAACATCGATACTCACGCCAAGCACAAACCACCCTAGTTGGAGAGAAAGCGAACTTGCCAAGCTCCTTTGTTGGTGTCTATGTCTTTTTCTTGATTTTGGGGAGTTCGTTCACCTTCCAGAGATGGATGAACCATGTACTGTATAGAATAGGGGAATAGCAGCATAGCATGCATTTCAGGTGGTACAAGATTTGCCCCGTCAACAGTATCTACAGTATCGCCCTTGATTCTTCTTTGTTGTTGGTCAGAGACAGTGTGTGCTTGTGTGCTTGTGTGTGCGCATCATCGCGCAGGTTGACGAGGAACGTGTGGAGCCACAGCGGGTGGCCAGTGATGATGGCTCGTGGTAAAGCTTTACTGGGCTCACGTGTACCGGAGGGTTAGTCTTTCCCAACCATGGTTTCATCAGTGCGGCTCAAACACATCCAACCATGGGCTTCTTCTTTCGTAGATCCAAGCACTATGCACCAGCCCGGGGCGCGAACCGTTTTGGGCGGCGAACCGTCGTTTCCCCTCCCAAAACGCGCCCAATGGACCCGACCGGTTTCCAAAACACCCGACATGTCGGGACATTTTTGGAGTGGAGGTCATGGTTCCCAGTGGCATTTCTGGATAATAGGTCTTACCAGCTTGGCCAGCCCAAGCAAACAGTCCAACCTCCGCCGATCCCTCGGTTTGCAGTGGAAAAGAGGCCCCGAGAAATCCCAAGAAGACGATTTTGCCCTACGAACACGGCGTTTGTCTTCCACGTCCATCGAAATTGATTTGGAGTGTATTTTTCGATCATTTGACATCAGACATCCCAGGACTGTCCCAGGTGATGCAACCTAGTTCTCGCTTCGTTTAGACCCGACCTCGAGGCGCTCTCAAGGAGCGTGTGAGGCGCGTGATGGACTCGCGTGGGGGTCCGGTGGTTGCTGGCTTGGGAGGACGTCCTATCGACGTAGATCAACACCAGATGAAACTCCCTGAACCGACATGCTAAGGTACTAAGCAATCTTCAACCCACCAGGTTCATCCAGGTTGCTGCATTCTGCATGTAGGGTGAGGTCAATTGCGCGAACGGGACCGATCCCCAAGGGTCGATTTGGTGTGCGGGAGGCTTTACTTGCTCTAAGAGTGATTGCGTGGCTTCTGGCATTCTGCTTGGAAAAAGCAAGTCTTTTGGGGCTTTCAGATTCTGGAAGAGGCGAACGATGTGAACCGAAGTGGATGTGTGCAAAGGACGGATTTGGCTGTTGAGTGTGGGGGGCACACTCTGAGCGCCAAGACAAGGGTCGATTGTTGTGACACCTCTCAAGGTCTTGGACGGTCTTGACTGTCCTGTCCAAACACCAGTCCATGAAACAGATCAGTCTAGGGTACTCAGATCGCAAGAACGACCCTCCCTCAACATCATCGTTTCGCAGGCTCGCAGGCCCACGTGTTGTTCACTTTTTTTCTTCCACGGGCAGAACTGTGTTTCACACTTCCATGATGCTTTCAGTGTCTCACTGACCTTGCAAGACCTTCGATGCGTTTTCCGCGGAAACCACCAGGTTGCTGCGGGGCCAGCGGGACGAGCCGGGGCCACCCAGTTTTGGAGCGAGACGATGCAACGGGAGAAGCCGGAAGGCAAGCAATGTGGCGGTGGGGATCATCAGAAAGGGTTTTTTGCAGACCAATTTGGTGCACCTGTTGGGTGTCCCATTTGAGGGGTTTGCGGTCGACATTTTCGAGTTTACCCTTTAGACTCGCTTTTATTCAAGTTGCCAGTAGACTTAGATCATTCTCTATGCTTTGCAGAACACGAAGCTCCTTTTTGGCTTTAGACAGGCTGAGAAGGCCTGCATGGCACCGCAAGCTACCGGACCTGCGCGCCGTTCGAAGACCGTCTCTCCGGGAGCGCTTTCGCTTTCGCCGGACACTGGGTCCTTGGTCCGGTGCTGTAGCCGAAGAAGCCTGACTCAGCAAAGTGACGAAGCCAGACTCTGAGGACTTTTCCCTGACATGAGTATGGTTGATGAGACAGTTGTGGTTGGCTGGCAGCTGCTTCACCTAGATTCCTAGATGGTTGTCTGGCAGTTTGGGAGCAGCTTCTCAGGTTGCAGACCCGAGATTGCAAGTCCAGGCATTTCGATGACACGCCTGCTTCAATTGGGCGAATGTTTATTCGGGATGAAGACCCCCAAAACAAAAGCATCGGATCAAGCATGCAACAAATGCCTTGGACCACATGCATTCGAAGGTCTTGTTTTTGGATGACACCTTCACGGTTTTTTGGCCCCCACCTTGCTGTGCTTTTTCTCCCGAACGTGCCGGAGCTTCGGCAGGCCAAGAGGCCACGGGGGACCACCGGATGGGCGGCCCGGTGCGGTGCGCCGGTCGCACCGAGGCTGCAAGCGAAGCTGCAGCGCGGCGCTCGGCAGGAGAATGAGGTGCTCGGGCAGAACGAAGCGGGGCGGAGGAGAAGGCGACGACGTTGGTGCGGTGATGGGCCCCATGGCGCCCTCCCCGTCAAAAGTGGAAAAGGGTTGGTGAAGCTGAGCTTCAAGCAGTTGTCCAATATTGGTAACGGGTCCTTCCGTGGAGCATGTTCCAATTGCACAAATCTGAGGGAGAGTATGATCAGGCCACAAAAATTGGTAGAACCACTATAGTCACTATAGCTTCCCCTGCGCCTGGGATGCATTGAATGTTGAAACACGCGAAATATCAGTGACCTCTATGCAACAGTTTGTATCATTTGATTCTATCGGACCATGTAGCATGAAAGAGAGAGATCAAAGCTTGATGTATTCAGCAGCCCCAATTGGTTCATAGACAAGATCCTTAGACACCTCACCCAATGTTGGTTATCAGTGATGCATAGGATTGAAGTGCCCAGCTATTCACTGTTGATGGAAGAACTCCTGCATTACCTGGCATGTATAATACACGCGATTCAGTGTGGGATATCATGGAACTTGATCGTGGCGCGGGAGAATAGGTTTTCAACAGTAGCTTGGATGGCCTAGTTATTAGGTCTCAACAGACAAGGAGCATGTGAGGAAAACCTTTGCACCATCATCGCCTTGTGCTTGCAACTCAAAGGTGGAATGTTGCAGGTTCTCCAACATATCAGTCCAGAGCTGCATGCTTTGTACTCCTGGTCAAACGTGGACATGTGGATGTAACCTCTCTTCACTGCTGCGAGGTGCTGACAGCCAAAGTGCTGGCTGCCCAGCAGGACAGACTCTTCACACCCACAGCTTGGGGCAAACCATGTGGTGTTCGGTGTTCCAGTATTCTGCTGAGCCAGAGCGTCAGCCTGTGCCGGAGCTGCTCCCACCTTTCGATGACTGCTGCGGTCCTTGTTCGTTTCTGTTTTTCCATCCTCTGGAAAGAGCTCGTACATCGTGGGTTCCGAGACTATCTGATTTGTGCCTATCTCTCATTCAGACAATCTCCAGAATCTCCAGATTCCGATTCCTAGCCTTTTCAAAGGGAAGATTGAGTTGAGCATGGTTGGATGGTTGGTTCTCCAGTTGAAAGCCTCGTGCAGCAGGGTCACCATGAAGCCTTGACATTTGACAGTGGGTGTGTTTTGTGTATGAGCTATAGTGACTTATTGGTTGTTTGATGTGAGGTCTGCTTTGCTTTGGATGTTCCTTTTCTGCTTTGCTTTGCTTTGAAATCGAACCTTTGTCACCAGGACATCCACGATGGCATTCACAGAGTGTTTTCCTGATATAGACCATAGAGATCCAGTATAGGAAACTAGGTGGTTGGTCACACCGTATTTTTTTTGAGGACGGCACCTGCTACCACCCTTGATTCCTTGGTTGGTTTCCACAGAGTGGGTGGATTTGTGGCAGCCACGAGAGGAAGCAGCCCAAGACTGAACTCTTCAAAATGCTCAAACCAAAAATATGACAAGATGTTTGGATCAATTGCGAGATTCAAAGAATTTCCTTCCCTCCTTTTTTCCATTGCTTCAGAGAATTCGCAACTTAACCAGTGTGGCCCATCCGATCATGTGGCTGCACCCCGTCCAACCTGTTGTCAGGAGTTCCTCGCGCTGCAAAGGGAGTTCAAGACCATGAAGGACCACCCATTCCATCTCGCGGGTGCATTCCGCCGGCGCAAGGAGGAATGTTTGTGGGGTGGGGTCATTGCATTTGAGTGGTGGGGTGAGAGGGCTTGTTTGCCTCGTTGGGAGATGGCGGAGGCGGGTTGTGTTTTGTGGGGTTATTTTTGAAGTAAGTAGACGTATTGAAAGCGCCGCGCTTCGAAGCTTCGCCGAAGATCTCCTCCCGGTGTCACAGGAGGAATACAACCAACGGCTGGAAGGTTTGCGCTTGGCCTTGGAGGTGCGAACCGACGGGTCATGACGCGCGTCTTCGAATGGGTGCGGAAAGTGACCGAACGTGACCTGCAAAAGTCAGACCTGGCGATCTCGCTCAGGAAAGGACCCGTGCTTCTTTTTGCTTGGGCGAGTGAAGACTGATGACAAAGAGAGGAAGACTGAGGAAGACGAAGACCAGTTCCAGCCAAAAAGATGCCAATGATGGCCACACTTGCGAATCCACTTGTGTTGTCTTTCGAGAATCCCGGACACCGCGGACGTTGCCCCGGTGTTGGAAACCAAGGTCACCCTCCAAATGACCCAAAGAAACAGTTTTTGCTAGGTTGTGATCGAAGAGCCTCTTCCAGGTCTATCTCAGAAGCTTGCTTATCACCAGATTCTCTTGCTTCGCAGCTTCACTTTTTCGCTGCTGCCACCTTCATGAATGTGCGCCTCCCCGGTCGCCTGGTCGCCTGTCACCCTGAGACGTGTCCCGCTCCGAAGCGCTGACGGTGCGACGGTCGCCAGGAACAGCAGATCGCTGCGGAGCACTCGAGCCGGCGGGTGATTTGCGCGGAGGCGATTTTTGCAGCAAAAAGGGGGCTCCTGAGCTGGAGAAATGGTGGTAAAGCTATGGCTATCCCTGAATTGAGATCAGGGAGATTTGACGCTCAGTGTGTGTTCGACCAGTCCTTTCAGTCGAAAAGCTCGTTTTGGTGAACATTGCTTTAGATGACAAGCGGGTGATACCATCCACTTGGGTTTTTGACTAACAGGGCTCTCTGGGCTCTCCTTCTTTGCATCCTGAGGCCGAGAAGCATGACAGAGCCCAGAATGCCATGGATTGGTGCAAGCAAAAGCCCAACGTCAACTCATAACTCCCACCGTGATGCTTCCATCGATGCTGCTGCTGCCGTGTCTGCCCAAATCCGCCAGGATTTGGTGAAGTTCCACCAGGAGCAGAGTAGATTGATGACCAGTCATTGGAGGCAGCAATGCCAGATGAAGGACCCACGGCCCATTGAGCTGTGACAGACCGGGCCCCGCGAACCACGCGACCAACCCGTTTTCGAGCGGTGGGAGTTTCTTCTCTTCCTGCTGCTTGGTCTGGGCCAAAGAAGAGTCCCAGAGGTTTTAATAGGGCTTCAATCGCAGGGGGGGCCCACATCCAATGACTGTAGAATGTTTTGGTAGGTATATGACTTATGACCCCAACTGTGCACATGTGTGGACTGCGAGGCTAAGTATTCTTGGATTTTAACAACTTGACAGGACGAAAGCATCCGAAATCTGAATCGACAGCTGATCGAGTAACCTGGATGCAGCTTTGAAAACTGTACCTCATGCCAGAGGGTCTCATAGTATGGCTTGCTGTGGGGAGAGTGAGCAAAAGGCTGCTTGTTTTGGGGATGTTTGAAGGATCTTTATGGCAGCGTTTCCAGTCTTTGGTCGCTGTGGGCCGTTTTTTCGGGGCCATTTTAGTGGGGAATTCACTTGCAAGTAAAAAACGCCCTTTCAGTTGGACTATGAAGCTTTGACCCGCCAGCCTGCGAGCACCTGCCGGGTCATCCTCCACCGAAGACTGCAGCGGCAGCTCCAAGGTATTCCACAGACTGGCAGCACCTGGGCCATCAGCGACAAACTGAGGCGACCGCTTCGTGAGAGGTGGCTGGAGGAAGGGGACGTGAGGTTCTTGGGATTTCTTCGTTTTTTTTGAACCTTCACTTCTCGCTCCATGGTGCTGAGGCACCTTCTTTGCAATCTTTCCTTCTTGAATCCCGCTGTTTTTGAATAGAGGGAACGATTCCGGACCATCCCTAGGGATCTATTCAAGAATGTGTCTTGCGATTCTGCCATCTCACCGCTCAGTGATTTGGATGCACCATTATATATATTTAGCTATGAGAGGACTTGCATTGACTTGCAGCAACCACTTGTTCTTGTACATGCTACTCTTTCGGATGGAGGGGGTGGTTTGCCTACAGACTTACAAGGCATGCCCCGAATCTCTTTCTGTGCCGAAACTGCGGCCTTCCCGCCGGCCGGGCTGCTGCAAGGTCCATCCGAGATTCAAGGGATTTCCCTTCAAAGGACCAAAGTAAGTACTGCTGGGAGTGTAAGGAAACAAAAGCTGAATGTATCTTGGAGGCCTTTATTCAGCATCATCATCCACTGGGGCCTGGTAGTAGGATAGATCCTCGTAACAAGTTCACTCGTGCGAGTTGTCCCTCCTTCTACAGGCGGGCCTCTCGCACGAGCACTTCTGCTTAGAGGCCGCGGCCTTGGGCACTTTCTTTCCAGCTAAGGTCAGGTGGTAGTTCATGAAACTCGAAGTGTTGCATTTCAGTAGCTTGTGAGAACTGAGAGATGGAATTCACTCACACGTTTGAAAAGAGCACACCCTATGCAGTCAAGTACATGATCCTCAATGGTCACTGCCATGAACCGTCCGAACACACATGAGGACCGGCACCGGCGGCTTCTGGAGCATCAGCAGCTCTTGGGCGAACACACGGAGAGGCGACCGGTCCCGTGCCGCCGCTTCCCGCTTCGCGAAGCCGTCGCCTGACGTGCCACCAGCGTGGTGTGCCAAACCGCAGGCCGCAGGGTTTGTAGAAACCGTGCTTGTTGGTTTTTTTTGTCCAAACAGGTGGGTAGAGGATCTGGATCTTTCTCATGAGGACCTGCAGTCACTGGGCTGACCGAGAACAGGTGGTCTCTTGCCGTGGGGAAATAGCGGGATCTGCAGTGGGATTTGCCATTTGAGGGTCTCAATGTGCACTTGGAGGCCTGAAAAGAGGTGAGACACCACAGTGAAACAGAAGGTCCAGCTCTCGGCATATCACCAGTTGGAAGTGAGCAAAGATGGCTTTTCCGGATCGTCCCACGATGCTTTGGCCGGAACCGCAGGTTGGAGGCCCAATTGGCAGAGGTTCAAACTGAGGAGTGAGAGCGGGTTAGACCGGTATTGATGGCGAGGAGGGTCCACTTGTTTGAGTGGGACTTTGCATGAATGACCAATCTCCCGATCTACTCAATTCTACTCCTTGGTTCTTCTTGGCTTGGGCCAGATTTTGGAAGGTTTGTGGTAACCACTGGGGTAACCACTGACAGATAGCTTTGCCGCCGAGGATGCAAGCAGTATTTGGGCGGCCTCATGGACCAACAGGGATTCTGAATGGTCATGTCTGTTTGCGGCCAAGAACACAATTTCCATGCCACATCGAGGCATTTTTGGCCGCCAATGGTCCTTTAACCTGGAATTCTTTACTGTAGACTCTGTAGACAAGTCCACCGGCTCAGCGCAAACGACGTCTCACTTGCGCCATGTCAACAGATGCACGAACAAAAACCACTCGGATCCGAACACATAGACATCGCGCCGTCACTGTCACCCTGATCCAACTCCCCCGTGACTGGTGCCTTTCGCGAGTTGCTCGGTGTCGCGGGACGCTCCATGGCGCTCCGATGGGCGCTGCGGCCGCGGGCGGCATTGGAGCGAGGAATGTCAGTGCGGAGGAGTTTCACTCAGGTGGGAACATGCGGGGTCCCGGAGATATCCTTGTTAGGATGGGGAACCGACAGTCGAGAGTTGGGCAATTGGTTGTGACCGATATGAAATAGATCTAACACGACTCCCCCCTCTTAGCCCTTACATTCTGCTCGCCCGCTTCTTTTCAAGGACCCGGCTCCGGAGCGACCTGACTTGTGCATTCGCCACCCCTCTAAACCCCGCTCGGCCAGGACTAGATCTCGGACCCCAGCGGTGCATCTCCTTGGAGCTCATCGGGCAGAGCATCATGTTTGAGCAAACCTCGTTTTGCGTCTGGAAACCGAAGTAGATGGGTTCCTAGAATTTTTGGGGGATCGAACTGAGGATCAATTCCGTTTCCTGTGATATGCTTGTGTCTATTTCATCGTCGGTGAAGCATGCCTTCATGGCTTTCTCAATTTTCTATTCACGTAATTCGTACTTATCCACAAGTTGCCAGTCTCCCCTCATCCAAGCATCCGATTTGTGCCCCAAAGCCAGGACTTTTGTGGATCTTTGTCTTCCCAGCCGAGCAGCACACATCCACCTGCCGCCCAGGCTTCACTTGGCGCTCTGCCGCCTACGGGGAGCTTCAACTCCGCAGTCACTACCTCTGCGCCGAGGAGGCCGGGCGCGCTGAGGATGCCGCTGCGGAGGCCGAGGTGCTGGCAGTGGAGCAGGGGCTCATGGGGGAAGGCATTTCCCTGCGCTTGAGCCGCAGACCATTGGACTATGTGACCTGGAGGTGATGTCGTGAAGTGAGGGAGCGACAGAGGTCAGTCAGGGCCGGTCCGTATTCTTTCAAAAGGGCCAAAAGGGCCAAGGCTGACTCGGAGCTCCCTTGACTAGTGGATGCATGTGGGGAGTACAGATGGGAGTTGGGAAGACTCTTGTCTCTTGAACGAGCTTCTCCCTCTTTCGTGTTCGTGTCGTCGCCAACGACTCCTCATCGACCAGAACCCTGCGAGTCGTACGTTGGGGGCCTCTGGAAAAGCTTGGAGCAAGAAGCTCGTGGGTTTTGGTCACAGGACTGATCTTAAATCGCGTCATGTTGTGCCCCGGGTGCCCAGCGGAAGAAGACGTTTGTGAGGCGCTCCTTGGGTTTGACCGAGGGAGGCTGGTTTCACGATCTTATGACCCAGTTGGTTTCCCTAATCCGAGGTTTGCGTGGACCAGCACCTGGTGGTGGCCCAGTATGACCCTTGGTGAATGGAATGATCACATCGCAGAGGAGAGATGGGGATGTGCTAGAAAAAGTTCATGTTCAAAGTTCAAACGATCAAAAGGGAGAGATCATATGGGTCAATCATCATCCTCTCAGCAGACAAAATTCTGCCCACTGTTTGTGAATGTTTCTCGTTTCTTGCGGAAATGCAGTTTTCGAGGGCGAAGCAAAAGTGGCAGGGCGTGAAAAACCTTACTTCCGCACAGATATTTGCACACCCTGTGGCAGATCAGCATCCAAAACTCTTGTTTCTTCCATGTAAAGCAAAAGACTATTTTTTAAATTGATTATCTGAAGAAAACAACACCATTCCCTATGCAAAATCATACAATCAAGCAATGAATGTCAAAAAACAATGTGAATCCAACCCACACCTGTCTTTTTCCTCAGGATGGGACTGCGCTGCTCCGGCGCAGCGCCACCTTCCAGATCAAGCGCGGGGAGCGCGGGGAGTACGGGGAGAACGAGAAGGAGGTGCCGCCGGGCCACGTCGATACCGAAGGGTTGGCCATGTGGTCGAGAAACAAGATGATGTGGTTTAGTTTTCTTAATGGTGCTCAAGCAGTAGAGAATGAGGGAACGACAGGAACGACCATTTAACATGGATACATTGGGATCCATTCCCTCATCCCTACAATAGTAAGGGATAAGATGTTGCCAGTCGTAGCTAGTAAGGATGGTCGCAATGTGCATGTCTACTTATAATTGTACATGTCACAAGTTTTTCAGACATTTCACGAGGGCTGTTGTTTGTTTGTTTGTACTCACGCCCGCTAGGGTTTTCTTTCTGTCCGTTTGCCGGGAATAGGGGTGCAGAGCCAGAAGGGTGTTATTTCTACCCCTGTTGTTTTGGCACCTGCAGGGTTTCTTTTCCACCCATGAAGGGTTTTGTTCGACCTGAATAGGTCGCGGGGAGGAGGCTGGCTTACACCCCCTGGAAGACTCATGGTTATAGGATTGACACCGAAACAAACGTAACGTGCACCAAAACGGATCAAAGAAAACGACACCCCAAAAACAGGGTCAGACAAGAGACCTATAACGGGCCCAAAAGGAACCCTAAAGCTGGTCGAACAAGAACACTTTGACGGGTCAAAAACACCAGAACAGATCAAACAAGAGAATGGGTCAAAAGTCAAGTAAGAACCCTAAAACGGGCCAACATGAATTCTAAAGCAGGTCAAACAAGATCCCTGGAATGGGTGGGAAAAGAACCCTAAAACGGGTCAAAAAAGAGCACTCCACCAAACAGTCAAAAGGGAACCCAAAACGGGTGGAAAAAGACATGCCAGAAGGATGGTGCAATGTGCATGTCTACTTGTACATTTCATGACTTTCTCAGAAACTTCACGGTGTTGCAAGGATTTATTAATATCTACATGCATTATAGAGTATTTTTGTTGGCAGTCCACTGTGAATCCATGCATTTCGAGACATTTGTGTTTGTCCTCTGTGCAGTGGAGTCCTGTGTGTTGTTCTGTGCTGACCCCAGCCCCCGAGAAACTCCTCACAGGTTTGCCTGATGTGGGCGGACCGGCCGGGCTTGTATGCCGGCATGGAGCGGGATGGGCGCATCACCATGAAAGCGTATAGCTCCCTGGCGGAGAGGTTTGGGTGTGATTTTGTTTTCTTGTTCCTATAGTACTGTAGCTCATGGGACGGTAGCCGACTGGACTAGAATTCGCCCATTGTTTCACGCATGGACTTCCCCTAGCCACTTCGTTCTTAGTGGCATTCTTCGGTCTTCGGAGCAGCACTCCCTAAACTTTGCTGTGTCTCGATGTCAATGTGTTCCGTGTTTCGATTGCGGGTTGGGTGACAAACATTTGGACATGCTGAGGCGGACTTTCTGGTGGCTTGAGTTAGAAAAGCCACCTCCCAGCTCCAAATGCCTCGAGTCATTCCCATCATCCTCGCAAACTCCACCACAACACGTGCTCAGGCATCAGATCCCTTTGAAAAAACACATGCACAGGACATTTTGACTCATCCGATCTACTAGTGTCCTATGATTTTACTAACAACAGATCCAAAGCAGACCACTTCCAGCAGTCCTCCCTCAGCTCGTCAGCATATCAATTCGAGCTTCATCTACCGCTGAAGTAGGCAACCAAGTAGTTCTGAAGACGAAAATAGACCTGTAGACCTAGAACACCCTAGGTCTATAATGTCGACGTACACGCCACTGCTGAGGCCTTCGCGATCGCGAGGACTTCCACTTCCGCCTGACGCCAGCCCGCCCGACGCCGCCGCTGCTGGTGGACCTGCTGCCGTGCACCATGGGCCTCAGCGCGCCAGCGGTGGAGGTGGAGGTGGAGGTGTCGGCAGAGACAAGGAAGGTGCCAAAGACCAGGCGGTTTCAGCCGACCTTCTCGGTGCCGGAGGAGAGGAGAGTAGTAGAGTAGTAGAGTAGAGCAGTAGAGTAGAGTAGTAGAGTAGTGGAGTAGAGTAGTGGAGTAGAGGAGTGGAGTAGAGTAGTAGGGTAGATTAGTAGAGTAGAGTAGAAGAGTAGGAGTAGCAGAGTAGAGTAGTAGAGTGGTGTGGTAGAGTAGAGTAGCGTAGCGTAGCGTAGCGTAGGGTAGGATAGAGTCGAGTGGTGTGGAGTGGTGTGGTGTGGTGTGGTGTGGTGTGGAGTGGAGTGGAGTAGTAGAGTATAGTAGTAGTAGTAGTAGTAGTAGTAGTAGTAGTAGTAGTAGTAGTAGTTGTAGTAGTTGTAGTAGTTGTAGTAGTTGTAGTAGTTGTAGTAGTAGTAGTAGTGGTAGTAGTAGTAGTGGTAGTAGTAGTAGTAGTGGTAGTAGTAGTGGTAGTAGTGGTAGTCGTAGTAGTCGTAGTAGTCGTAGTAGTCGTAGTAGTCGTAGTAGTCGTAGTAGTGGTAGTAGTAGTAGTAGTAGGTGTAGAGCAGTAGAGTAGGAGTAGTAAGAGTAGAGTAGGGTAGAGTTCACAGTGTTTTTGATGATCTCCCCCAAAATAGGTACAGATTGTTTTGCTTTTGGAACATGCACTCGAATCCCTCTTTCTAGTCGGTTTTGACACCGCGTCAAACTAAACATTCGGAACCTGGCCAGGACTACAACCTCCTGGCCTCTCGCCTCCCTCAGATCTGCGGCTCCTTCGAGGCGGTCGACTGAAGAAAAACCACTTCGAGGCGGTCAGACGGTTCAAGGCGGAACGGGTGGAAGCGACTCTGTTTCTCGCTTTCCGGGAAGACGTGTGGTCGTCGAAGACCCCATGGCGGCCATTGGCGTTGGATTCCGGGCGAAGGACTTGTGGCGGAAGTTTGGCGGAACGGTGGGAGGAGGCACACCCAAGAGCGGGTTCGGGTGTTGGAGCGAGCAGCATGTCGATCCGAAAAAGAAGGCAAGGGGAACCGTCTCCGGCGCAGAATATGGTGGAGAGTTGAAGAGAACGAAGTCGGTGGTTCACGCGAAGAAGCTTGGTACCATGACTCGAAAATGGATGATGGGTCTGTCCAGCACTGCAAAGTTGGAGCGCGTGGACGGTGTCTTGGAGAGTCGCGGCGAAGAAGTGGCCAAGGTGTGAACAATGCGTGATCATGTGGGATGACCTGGAGAGGGTGGGAGGAAAGACCAGTTTCTCAACGTGTGAGAAGAATGACAGAAACAACCAACACCTAGAAAATCTGCTGATTTTGGGGAGGAGAACGATCATGATCGGTAGGGGAGGAGATGTTTGCACATGCACTTGAAGGCTTCATGTCGTGAGGCACGAAGGTTGGGCATGAGACGTGGCCATGCTTCCGAGAGAGTCGCTGGACTCCAAAATGGAGGGGCGGCCGCAGGGGCGTCAGCGGAGGGTTCACTCACCACCAGGTTCGCCTCCTGCCGGTGTCGCTGAGGGTCCCTGTTCACCTCGGTTTCTGCAACACTCCGAGTCTCGATGGGTCTGTGGGTCGGTTGGTGAATTCGAAGGCCATGGACTTCTGGGACCCACAAGGCTCAGAAGCGTCACGGGAGCGCGCTCGCGGGTGCGCGGGACTTCGCGCGCGGTTGGATGCAGGAGCGCTCCTTGAGGGAGGAACTGGCCAAAAGCGCTGCTGTGGGGGGACCTGGACTCGGCTTTCATGCAGGGATGAGATTGGATGAGCTGGTCCAGCCATAAGCCATCTCGGGTTTTGTCCTCAGATCAGTCGTGGGATCTCGAAGCTTGCTACCCTTAGTATTCTAACAAGTAGAATAACTCGTGTTTCAATAGCTTAGCCTGAATCCTGTTTCTGCACACTTCATGGCCGTTACGAGGGGTTTCTTGACTCCAAAACGACAGACATATACTATATACCCAGAACTTCTTCTCTGGCAGGAATTTTGTGTCTATGACGGGTAAAGGTGACAGGGCACCCGTGCTTAGGCCCAGGCATGTCTAGGCATTGCATGGCCATGCGCTGTAGCGCTGAGAAGCCGGGTGTCATGATTCAGCAATTACAAACAATTCTATAGATCTTCAAGATATGAAGTTGGGGCTATGAAAAGAGATTCAGCTTCAAGATGCCGTGGGCCTCTGTGGGCCGTGGCCGGCGCTTGCCCTCTATCGATTCCGTGGAGACGTCGATCGACCAAAACGGCAAAGTTCCGTGCGTTGAGTGGGTCAAGAGTCAAGGCCTAAAGGCCTGGGCGATGGTCCACCAAGTGGGCCGTGCCCAATCGGTATCTAGTGCCATGACCATCATGACCCAACGTATCCATATTCCTAGAACTCGGACATGGACATGGCCTCTGTTTTGGTAGGAAAAGACCGTGTTTGGGCTCCGAAACAGGGGTCAATTAGGTTCTAGGTTTACAATTTTTTGTCCTTCCAAGGCTCCATTAGAGGAGGCGCAGCTCGAAGAGGCGGGTGGCTGGCAGGGCCCCCATAATGCGCAGCTCGGGGCCATGCGCAGCCGATGGGAATCCCCATGTCGAATCATCATACGAGGCGTTCGAACATGGCATGACCCCCCTGGATCTACGCTGTGAGGGCAAGTTTGGATCGATTTGAATCTAATCTACGAATCTATACAATGTCCACATTTGGGAGCTGTGCATAGTGCTTAGGCACGAAGAACTGGCACTTGTGCCTTTTGAAATGCGTCTAATGCACCAGCAAAGGTGGACTTGACTTTCCAGGCCGCTGGCTTCTCCTGTGTGGACACATGACCATCTACTTTCATCCGCTAAGACCTGGAGCGGCGTGTGCCGCCGGCTTGGAGCGGCGTTTGCCGCCGGCTTGGAGCGGCGTTTGCCGCCGCCTTGGAGCGGCATTTGCCGCTGGCTTGGAGCGGCGTGTGCCGCCGCCTTGGAGCGGCGTTTGCCGCCGCCTTGGAGCGGCGTTTGCCGCTGGCTTGGAGCGGCGTGTGCCGCCGCCTTGGAGCGGCATGTGCCGCTGGCTTGGAGCGGCGTATATGCCGCAGGCTTGGAGCGGCGTGTGACGTTGGCTTGGAGCGGTGTATGCTGCCGGCTTGGAGCGGCGTGTGACGTTGGCTTGGAGCGGTGTATGCTGCCGGCTTGGAGCGGCGTGTGACGTTGGCTTGGAGCGACACATGCCCCTGGCATGTGTCGCTGGCTCAAAACGGAGTATGCCGCTGGCTTGGAGCGGCATGCGGTACTGGCTCAAAGCGGTGTGCCGTTGGCTTGGAGGGGCATGTGCTGCTGGCTTGGAACACTTTATCGGGGCGGTGTTCACGGCTTGGAGTGGCGTGTGCCAGTTGCTTGCAAGGACCTTTGTTTCTATTCTTGTCGTAGGTGCAGTGCTGTGGTGTGCTTTCAGTGCTCCTAGGCTCCTAGGTATCATCCAGGGAGCGGTGCACACTGCAATGTGAGGTTGGGGCTGGAGCAGGCTTCCTCTCTCTCAGTTGCTTTTTTGGCCACTTTGGGCAGCGTTGCTTGTTGAAGGTCTTGCACTGATCGGCTTGCTTTCAAAAAGACGGTCTGAGTGTGTGCCGCGCGAGCCACTGATTGCATGGGCCCATGCGCCAGGCCTTGGCCGAGCGTCAAACACAGACGCTGGAGTTTCTGCGGGCTCAACGGCGGGGCTACGAGGCAGGATGTGTTGATGATCGGGTGGTTAGACACTTGGCCCAACAACAACAGCAGCCCCCACCATGATGGCATGTTTCGCATGTCATGCAGACTCTTGATGAACAACCCCCCCCAAGCCTGAAGAGGTTTTACAATCCATGTCGGAGTTATTCATCAAGAGACTTGCTTCCGCCATGCAGCCAAGCTTGGGCTCGCCGGCTACGCCGACATGTCGAGCAGCGCTGCGACGTGCCCATCTCGTGCCTCTTGGTGACAAAGAAGGACGAAATCGCACGAAACTGATTGATGGACGGGAGGCTCCAATCTTTGATGGGTATAGTTGTGGCTTCAAACGCCCATTGGCTGTGGGTCAAGGACCAGCCAATGGTCTTCGGGCTCCAAGTTGTCATCCTATCCCCAACAAATTCACCGGCGCCCAGACCCACGTTTTCTTCCACTCTGTTGTTCCGCCTCCGTCTGCGCCGAGGCCCGCCCCAGCCGCGAGCTGCGCCGGGCGGAGGCGCAGCTGCGGCGACAGATCTTCGCGGCCGGCGAGCGCTGGGAGGAGGCGCTGGGGGCGTTGAGATGCTTGGAGTGATGAGAGGAGTCATGGTGGGGGTGAGGATGCACCAGTGGCTTTTGGGAGGCTTGTGGGTGGAGGATGTGAGGGAGTGGATGTGGGGGAGGGGAGGTTCTTCTTTGATTCTTTTTGGTGGGATGTGAGGTGTGCTGTGTATTTTCCTCTACTTTGTTCTGTATGCTGGTTGACCTGGGGTTATTCGTAGGTTCCTTGAGTTCCTTGTAAACATGTTTTTGTTTTTCTGGCCATAGCCAAGTAAAGCTGCTGGGAACAATGTCTTTTGGCTTTGGGCAAAAGGATCGATCTCGAATACTTTCAGACAGGATCCTTTCGACCAACACCTCCACCGTTCCAACAGACGAACTTAGAACAGGAACGCCCTTCCTTTGACGTGGTACCTCTAAGAGTCCTGACTTCATCGGCTGCTGTTCCAGCGGTGGTGGCACAGAAAAACTTATTTTTTAATGAGCAGAAGGTCATTTCTTGCAATTCAGGATCGCTGGGGGAAATCTCAAGGATTCATGTTTGTGTTGTCCCTCCCATCCCTGACTTCCAGTCCAAGAGATGTTTTTGAATGGTGGATCCAAGGGCTTTTTGTCAAACCAATCCACTGAACTCCTGGGTATCCGGGATGCTTAGAGCCGTAACAGCTACTTATGGAGTTTACAGTAGTTTACAGCCAACAAGAATCATTCGAGACCTGTACTTAACCACGCTTTGCTGTCCTTCACCACCCCGACGAGTAGTGTACCAAACCGTGTGAAGACTGGAAGAATCTCAGCCATCCCTGAGATTCCGGGTGTTGAGATTGGTGTTCCATGACACCGGTGAGACTCCCTGAGTTGACCACGCTGAGTTCCAGACCTGTTCGGGACAACACCGCCCTGGGCCTCTTCGGGGGCGTTCACCACCGATGCGGTCGGCCTTCCGCCACCGAAACCCTTCGACGCCGAAGGCGGTCTCGCATGCGGTCTCGGTTTTGAGGGGCTCGGCTCGTTTCAAGGGCCTTTTCCCGGAAGCTTTTCCCGGAAAAAAAGGATCTATATGGTCAACGCCAGTGTCTTTCATTTCAAGTTTTTGGGTCAACGCCCTCCCTAGTCCTTTCGGGGCCTTTTTCTGGATTCCCAGGATCGCACCTCTCCTTGTCGCCCCAGCTGCTGCCTTTTGGCGCCGCAGTGAACAGCTGCGCCCGGGCGAGCCAATGGCGTTGGGCACAGGCTTTTTGTGTTAGGGCGGAGGGTGGCCACAGACATGGTTGCGTCAATGGGTGTAAATGTGTGTGGCTTAAGATCTTTCTTAAAATCTGAACATGCACGGTTTTTTGGACTATAGACTATAGACTTCCATCCCATATGGCTTGCAGCTTTTATTTCCAAATATGCCTTTCAGTCTGGTGAGGGTGGCCAGTTTAATCCAAATCCTTGAGAGGCCAGGATTCGCAGAGGGGCGTCATACTCAATGACACGGCAGGTTCTGCGAATGGTTTGACTGACTGCTGTGGTCAGAGGTATTCAATGCAGATCGACCCTTTGGTTTTCATACCTCGTTTGGAAAGCTTCTCCGCAGGGCTAGCCACAATGAAGGGGCACCAAGGACTCGACTTTGTCGTTTGCCCACCAGCCTTTTTGAACTGTCTCAACTGCCAGGAGCTCTTATCAGAGTTACCCAACGTGCGGCTGGTCGCGAGTGTGGTCGTGTTCAACTCGGCCACTGGCACAGAAGGAGTGTCATTTCTCCTGGATCTTGGGCCTGGAGGTCTTGTTCAAAGGCAGCGGCCAACCTCGTGACAACACTGCTGCCAGTTTCTCCTTTTGAATGAAGACACGCGACCCCAGCGAAAAATATACAAGTTTGTTGCAGGCTCACAGAGACTCTGGGGTTTTGACCTCCACGGAGGTCCTGGAATAGCAACCTGACCGTTCTTGTCGATTGGATTTGGGTGTAAAGGATGTTCATCAGGGAGACTGGAGCTATCAGTGCAGGTGCTGTTATGTTTTCTGCCTTTGTCAGATCCCGACATTGGCATGCAAGCAGCCAGACATTTTGGCAGCGATCTGCTCAAGGATCCATCAAGACGCACCCGAATCCCTACTTCTCAAGCCCATCAAAACCAGCCGATTTCAACCGCCCGATGTTTTCCTCTCATCACCTCCTACAGGCCCGCCTTGCGCAGGCACGGCACGGCCCTCTTCCCTTCGCCGGCGGCGTGTGCGGTCTCAGGTCATCACGGCCTGCGAGCGCGGGCGACCGGACGTGTGGTGGGACGCGTGCTTGCGCCTCCTGGCCTCGCAGCTCCACTCGAGGATCATGCCTGATGTGGTGGGCATCAGTCACACGGCGGTGAGTGATGGGGAGTGGTGGGATGGTGGGAGGAGAGGCGGTGGGCGGGAGAGTGGGATTTGATGAATGGCCGGCTGGGAGTGTGGGAGTGGATGTTGGCCGGAGTTGACTTTGGCCGGTCTCTTTTTGGGGTGGCTGCGGGGTGGAGAAAAGGTGTTTTGGTGAAGCTGATTTGGAAGTGGATGAGTTGGCCCTTGGATCAGGAAGATGTTTTTTCAACTTGTGTGTTTGGTTGTGATGTGTTTGGCTAATGAAGCCGAACACCCTGATTCGACCAAAGTGAAGCTAGGTGGAAGGCCACGTTGCCCAGGAAGCTGGTGGGTTGCACGTATTGTTTAATTCAGAAGTCAAAGGAAGATACTGAAATTGTTTCTTCGCAGAAGGCGCAATGTTCACTTCACCCCGACTCCCATGCTTGCGGCTTTATGTGACGGGACCTCGTGCATGGGCCTTGAGCCTAGTGACTGCACTGCCGTGGCACGAAAAGGGTCTTGAGTCTTGAAACGGGCTATGATGGGACCTCAGGACTTTCGGTTTTCACGAAAGGTTGCTTCAGCAGTCTTTAAACGCATCTGGCTATGACGGGATGTCAGGACTGTCGGTTCTTTTACTTGTTGCTGTGGCTGACTTCATCCCACTCCACCGCAAGAGGCTGCGTGATGCCTACGCAGTATCTGAGCCTCGGGCGCTGAGGCAGCAGTATCCGTGCATGCACGCACTGGCCGATGGCCGTGCATCTCCTGAATCAACAGATCACCAACCACTACAGTGCCTTGGTCAGAGCAGGAACCTTCAGATCCTTTTTGCTACATTAAACAGATTGATGAATCGATGAATATACAACCTTTTGCAGTAATTAGATGCTCTGTCCTGTCCCGAACCTCCTCCACTGAGACAGGGCTGCGGTAGCCTCCAAGTATTACCCATGAGTTTCAAGGTTAGATGCGTTGGAGTCCAACTCATCCAATCCAGTGACCAACCTGCTGCTCCAACTCAACCAACTGTACTTCTCTCCCAGAAACACCTGCAAGTCAGTTTCAGGATATCCTTGGGTTTTTGCAAGCAAACACGGTTGACATACAAGGCTTCCTGCACCCCCTTTGACACTGGGAATGCTTAATCCAACAGGTTAGGTCCATCGCAGGTGGACTCTGCAAGAAGCAATCCCTCAGGACTCAGCATTTTGAGTGGACCCCTGTAACATCAAACAAATACCAGCAACTGTACCAGAATCAATACTAACCGTATCCAATCATATCATTATACACCCAGTTGGATTGGTTCCATCAACAAGTACCAGTAGCTGGTACTCTCCTCTACTGCTCGAGGCTACAACAGTGCCTTGAGTGCTGCGGGCAGCAGTGCCAATGGCTGGGCCACAGCCTGCAGTTTGCTGCTTCAGATGCGACATAGCGACTTGGAGCGCAAGAGGGGAGGTAATAGAATGTAGTAGAGGAAGGTGTTGAGCTTTGTAGTCGCAGAGGCATACAAGGGCGGGTTGCTTGAACATGTGTATGCAATATATATATATATACATGTATAGATATAGGGAAAGGTGTAGGTAAGGGTTTGGCATGGAGTGCTTTGTCTCATGTGTGGTTGATTCTTGATTCGCTCGATTTGCTGGACCAAGACGTGAAGTCTGCTCAATCTGAAGTGAAGGTTGCCAATGTCGTGCCTTCGCCTTCGCCCTTGGTTGCCCTGGCTCACCTGGCTCGCCGCCGCCTTTGTTGGGCCCGTTCACCTCAATGTCCGGAGTGTCCAATGCAACGGACGGACGGCTGGACGTGAGGATGCCGCCTCGTGTGCTCCGAAGGAGTTGGATCCTGCTTACTTGCGGCATTGGCTGGCGGAGGCCCAGCAGCCGGCACAGCGGCGAGGCCGAGGCCCCAGACGAAGGCCGGATGCAAAGGGCCGGTGGAAGTGCAACTCGTGTGGAAGGTGGCTGGAAGCCGCTACTTTCTATCTTACCGTACAGAAAAGACCCAGATCCAGGTGCAGGACATGTCGCATGCACCAAGCAAGAGAATACGACAGAAGCCCGCGAGGGAACATTGTGAACTTATTGAAGCATGCGAAGGCGGGTGCCATCCGACGAGAT